TACACTGAGGAGGAAGAGACCAGCGGAACGGCATTGAGGAGGGAAACAGAGGAGGAGGAAGGATTCGATCGGCCCAAATCAAACATGGACGCGCCACTCGAAGGATAGAAGAAACTCGATTGCTTGAACCCCGCTATCCCCTTCTTACCACCTTTAAAGAAACCTTACTAATCTCATACTAACCCACTAACCGTTTTGGTCAAGAAGAGATCCGAGAGAGAGCGAGTATTAATGAGAACATTAATAGAAGATTCACACAGATAAACGAAATGGAAGACGAGGTGGTGACGATTAGCAGCGACGAGGAGTGGGAGGAGTCGCGGGCTACGCCGGTGCGCCTGAAGGACGGCAGCGGTGGGGAAGAGACACTCCCCCAAGGGTCGCCGTGGGAGGATCTGCCGCACACCGATCGTATCCACTCCATCCACCACTCCACGATAGACGTCTCGGTGGCCTTGGAGGATATGATCATGGTGTTAAGGGAAAACTTCACCACGATGTACGTGCAAGCGCCCGGAGTGCAGCGGACTCCGCCGCATGTGGAGGAGCCAACTTCCCTTCCCGGCTCACCGAGCCCATCACAGCCGGAAAACCCCAATGTTTTGACGGACGAGGAGTCGAAGAGATGGGCCAGCCCGACACAGTGGACTGCAAGCGAGGGGGAAGACGAGGATGCTGCGAAGGAGGTCCCGACCAGCTTCCGCCACGCGAGGTAGGACGCGGCAGGGAGCACTGTCCTTCCGTCCCTAATCCTGCCTCGAGAGTCGCGTCGCGAGCGGAGGCCGGGGAGCCAGAGGAACCATGGATGAGAAGGGGCAACCGAAGTGAAGACGTATGGCCGAAGCCGACGCCCGTTGGAGAGCGATGCAGTTGAGAATCGCCGCCGCGGTTCCACGCGAGTCACATTTCGCTACATTCCCGGGGCCGTGGAGAGCAGGCGTCGACTGGCAGAGCCAGTCTATCGGTCGGAGCGGGCGAGTGGACGGCCTTGGGTGGACCGCCGAGACCGGTATGCTGGATCCCACGCATGCCCAAACGACTTTGGAACATCAAGCTGTGGCGGGATCACTCGACGGAGGAGACGGGCGAGCTCCGTGGAGCCGCAACCGAAGTGGCGAAAACTGGACGATTCCCGCATAGGGGGATCAAACCACCAGAGAGAGCTTGGTGATGTCCTCGAAGGGTGGCTGTCGGACGAGGCGTCCAGGTCGAGCGTCGAAGATGGCGCGGAACGAGAGGCGTTCCTTTCCGTCCCGCGGAATTGGACGGTGCGCCCGGCTGGTACGAATCTAGAGGAGAAGGTTGTTGAACTAGAGAAGCTGGCGCCTACAGTCGACGACATCGCCGCACGTGTCGTCGGAGA